TCTCTCTCTCTCTCTCTCTCTCTCTCTCTCTCTCTCTCTCTCTCGAAGACGGCCCGTTTTATGATGGCCTCGCCAACCAATAACGTCCACGACCGCCCCATGTCGGTGGAATTATTACACATTCTTCAGCTCTTGTTGTCCGGAGCGCGCGCGCCGTCGCGTCACGGCCCCGTCTCGGCCCGAGCGGATGAATGGTGCGTGGCGGGGCTAAAGCGAGAGAAAGAGAGACGGAGCGAGAGAGGCACACACGGAGAGAGAGAAAGACAGAGAGAGAGATGGGGAGGGCAGGGGCGCCAGCAAGCGGCAGGGTGAATGGCTGCGTATTGATCACGGTGCGCTGCCTGGCGGCGGCCGCGCCAAGCTCCGGCGGCGACACAGCGGCCCCAATGCAGCCAACCCCAACCGCCGCGGCCGCGCCACGGTTTGAACGGCGCGGCGGAGCAGCTGTTCCTAGGAACCGGAAGTCGTGGACGTCGTGACCGGGTATGGCGGTAAACGATAATGAATTGAAAGAAAAACACAACCGAAGACAACTGCTATTCACAAGCAGTAAAAGTCATTCATCAAAGTTGCATTCTCAGAATCATTCCCAACATTTCTTTTCCAAACATGAATGCGTTACATGAAATTCGTGCATGTCTGTTTATGGACCGCGTCTGATCCCTTGAGCTCGCGCTATGATAGCCTGCGGCCATCCCCGGCCATCCCCTGGGCCGAAATTCCGAATGGGTTGCCTCCCTCCGGACAATCCTGACATGTCGTTCGCTCTCGTAAAGTTGAAGCTCGCATCGGCGCGCGGGGAATTTGAACGTTCGCCGCCATACCGCGCATACCGTCGTCGCTCCCTGCCCCCGCGCCAAGTCTGCCATCTCTTGCTTCCGGGACGTGTTATATGGAGCGATATATCGCGCTTTTAGAACGTGTAGTTCAATGGTGAAAACGGCGTAAGTCCATTGGACTTACGCCCTTTTTACTTTTTATCATTGAGTTGTGAAACGTGGCTTGCAGAAACCCTAGACCGCGCTAGTGTGTTTGATCGCGAACTGGCGTGGCTGCTGTCCGGTGAGAAAAATAGATAATGGCTCGTTTCGGGGGCTGCCTGTTGATAAGGCTTGAGAGTAGTTGATTAGGGGTGAGTAGGGTGGGGGGAGGGGATGGTGATGCACACTGGGCCAAGCCGCCACCGGTGGGGTGCGGGGTCTTGAGTGATGGGCGCGGTGCAGGCCCATGGGAGGCCCCCTGCAGGGGGGTGCTGGGGTAGGGGGTGACATGGGCGTTGGTCTGTTCATGACATCCATAGCCCCGCTGGCCCGTTTTGGCGGCGGGTGGTGGCGCGGCGCGGCGAGCCGGGCCTGGCTAGCTCTGGTGGCCGCTATTAATAGTCGACAACAGGCGGGGCGCGGAGGGCGCCAGGGCCAGGGCGCACGGCGCGCCGGTCACGGCACACTGGTTCAACTTCAATTTCCGCCGGACGAGCGCGCGCCGCGCGTGACTTTGCGTCACGGGCAGAGAAGGGACTTGTGCGCGACAGACACGCGGCGCTGCTGGCGTGGCGCGCCCGCCTGCCCATTGACTCTGTTGGCAGCGCTGGCGGGCTGTGCGCGCACGCGCGGGCCGTGCCAGCCCCAGAGCCTCAGCTGTTGATCCAGGCCCCTCCCCCCGCCCCGGCGCGGCCCCGGCGCGGCCCCGGCGCAGCGCAGCCCAGGCTCGGCCCCCCCACCGCCAGTTGCTCGCGAGCTCTGTCCGGGGCGAGCCGAGGGCCAGCCGAGGGCCAGCCAGGGGCCAGCCGCCGAGCCCCCGCGCGCCGCGCGCCGCCGCCGCGCCACGCTACGCCGCGCCACCACCGCCGCCCGCCGTCGCGCGCGCGTCTGCCCGTCCGCGAGCCCGTGCCCGCCCGCCCGCGCGGGCTGTGTGTGTCCCCCGGGACCATGTCGAGTCGGGCGCGGAAAAGGCGGTGGGGCGCGTACTCCCCGCGGGCGCCCCGCAGCAGCCCGCCCCGCGCAGCCCCGCCGCATGGACCGGCCCCGTGCAGCCCGCCCTAGTGAGGCCCC